TAGACATTAGATATTTGAATGTATCTGTATTTATTAAATACATGCATGTTTCAAGTTATTGCCCTCCTTTAAATACCATTTTGAGTTTTTGAATTCTCTCCTCTTTCCACGTACGCTCTGTGGCCTGTCTTCACTGTGGCTGCCAGCAGCACTGAGTTTGTGTGGGAACTGTCATCTGGGGACACAAGCATCTCTGACTGTTTTGTGAGACTACTACTGGTGTTTTTCCCTTTGAGGAACGAAAGCTCTTCTCTGTGGTTGGTGTGTCTCTTTTAGGGCACACCTTAAAGACTAATTAGCTAGGCTGCCAGTTTCAGACAGAAAAAAGTGGACCTTTGCTACCAGGAAAGCCTACTTTTTCTTGTTGGTCAACAATCAATAGTTTTCTTTGGATACAATTCCTTTATAACATGAAAGTTGTAAAGACTCAAAAATGATCTTTGAGTAACAAGAAGTATGCACAAATAGTGCTGATTTTGACTTGCTGAGGGTTTTTTGTTTTGTTTTTTCCATTACTGCATTGATCTCAACAGCTGTACGTACTTAAACTCTCTTTCTGGAACCCTTGCCCCCTACATTATGCACAAGAGAAGTCGGAACAATTATTACCAAATTTTCCCAGAGCCCAGGGAGCCACTCAGCAGGATCGACATTCTTCCTCCTGCCACGTTATCTTCACCCTCACCAGTTACAATAGCTTCTTATAAAATAGCATGGTAATGTTCATTAAGAAAAATAGGATTTTTGTATATAAGAACAAAGGTGAAAGGAACAGTGAGAGAAAGAAAAGGAAGAAATAAATTGGAGCTGGTTTTTTTCCTAGCCAAGGGTGCCCCGAATGATATGTAATGACAGGTCTTTGTGGGTTTGATTGGGTGTGTGTGAGCATTTATGGCACCTGTGCCTGTGGGGGCCTCACCAGCAGCCAAATGGTAATACTGGTGTGTAATTATAGAGCACTTAACTGAATTCAGCATGCTTTGTCTCTGATAATTTTCACTTTCATTGTTCAAGAGGCTGTGGACACTGTAGAAGCTGAGGTTCAAATACCTGCAGCTGTTGAGATAAATGAATGTTGTAGCTGTTTTTAAAGTTTCCCGTCGTACTGTTTTTAAAAGTTTCCAGGGGGAATGCTGTTTAAGAGGAAAGTTTGACAAAAGTGCAGTTAAAATAGTCTACTTACCTTTCCAAAGCCATAAAATCTTAGATCTATATATGGATCATTCTTTATTCCTCTTCATTTCACAAGCTGGCCCGGCTCCTTTCCACCCGACCCGGTAGCGCCGGTCCTCCTTGCCTGCTATTAAATTCTCAGTGTGGAAAAAGCTATTTCGATTTTCTACTCAGCTCTACAGACATAGACCTTATGTTGTCTGCACTTGTGATATATAACAGATTCAGACATTTAAAAATGTGTTAACCTGTTTATATGGAAGAATAAAAACGGCCCCAAAGGGCAGAGCCATGCCAAATCTGAACACAAACCTGCTTCCATTTTCTTGCATTTCCCTCATCCAGCCAAAGCTCTTCCAGGCATTATCTACTTGTTCTTTAAGTCTTTTTAAAGTTTTGAACATTAGAAAGCAGGACGATAACAAAACCAAAAATTAATATAATACAATTTTCAGCACCACGGAGAGAGTATATCTTGTGTGCGGATTTCCAAGGACTCTTCTTTATTTTACCAACAAACCTATGGGGTTCATTTAGAAAGACTGCTGCCTGATTAATTATTATTAATTATTATTAATCTCATTTTCCTATATTTTACAAGTAATCTCAAATTAATATAAAATTGAGAACCTTTGTTAAATTCTCCCAATACAAAACTTAATTATTAAAAAATATTTTAGAAAAATTATCATAAATTATCTTGACTACTGTATTTCATATGGCTCAAAAATAATTTTATTTTCATGTGTGTGTTTAGTAAAACACTGTGAAATACAAAAAAAAACTTAATTATTGCTTCATACTTTTGGTACTTTCAGCAAACAATTCTGTTTGTTTCAAAGTATGAGTTATGTTTTTTAAAAATATGTTTTTATTGATTTCTAGGGGTTGGGGGAGAGGGAGAGATAGGAACCTGGATGAGAGAGAAACATCCATTGGCTGCCTCCTGCACGCCCCATCTTGGGGTAGAATCTGCAACCCAGGCAGGTACGCTGACCAGGAATCAAATTGATGACCTCTTGGTGCATGGGATGATGCTCAACCACTGAACCACACCAACCAGGTGAGTAACATTTCTAAACTGGTCACCTACAGCCTGCTTGCTTTTTGTCAAAGTGACTTTTCCTCCTCATCTGTGTTTGCATGTGTGTGTGTTTAGAGATATATGATAGTTAGATGATAGATAAAACAAGCAACAAAAAAATCAAATGGGGTAAAGTATTACCAATGGGTAAATCTGAGTAAAGGCTGTATTATGTTTTTTTCTTGCATTTTTAAGTGCAAAATTATTTTCAAATAAAATGTCTTAAAACGTCCATGTGGTTCCAACACGTACAGCTAAGAATCCAGTCACATCTCCTATCCCGAGCCCTTTCTCTCCACACATTCCCTGAGATCCATTCACACCAAACTACTCATTTCCTCAAATGAATGTCCTCATCCTCTAGTCTGTTCAAGACAACACAGGAGTCCGTTTCACCAGAAAAGCCTTTCCCGGAACTTCAGGCAAGTTCAGTACTTTCTTCAAGGTGAGAAATAATTTTTTCATATCTGTCTTTATTTGACTATCAGGTAAAACAAAAATGAGACTGCACTTTCTGTGCCTTGGTCATGGATGACTCCGTTTCCAATTTTGAATCTAGAATGTGATGGCACCTGCTCAGAGGGGTATTCTGAGGAGTAAATGGGTCAATTCATGCTAACTTAGAGCAGCCTGGTGAACAGCACCTGTTCCTAAGGTTATGGTAGTGCTGTGGTGTGATGGCAATAAGTAGTCTAGTATCAGAAAATTCTAGAACAATAGGAGTAGGAGGGATTGTGGTGTATTCCACACCACACATTGTAGAAATTCATTAAACATTTTCAGGTAAAAGAATGGAGGATCAGGGAATACATTATACTATTGCAAGGAAGAAGTAATGACAATCTCACAGGGAACCAAGGGGGAGGGATGGAGAAACTGAATTTGAGAAGCCTTCATGCATGTTTGTATCAAGTGATAAACCCCTTACTGTGGACTGAGAAGAAGGGGATATACGCTATTATGTCATCATTTTTTTAGGACCTTCACAAAGTGACATTTTAGGCAGTATTTCTAGGACATGGTGTCACCGTAGGATTTGGCTGTCTCCTTTAGGCAGTATGGATCATTCTCTGTTTGGGTCCAAGTACTTTTCTCCTTAATATGCTATATATTTGTTTAAAAGTTTATTATATATGTGTGGTCATCTTTAGTCAGCATGTGGTTGTAACTACATGTTTCAAAGAATCTGGATCAAAGGTGGTATATAACCACATAATTTTTTTTTATTGTTGACACTACCACAGATGTCCCCATTTTCCACCCCCTTTGTTTGCCTCCACCCAGCCGCCGGCTCCCCTTCCCTCTGGCCATCACCACACATTTGTCTGTGTCTACGGGCCATGCATATATGTTCTTTGGCTAATCCCTTCACCTTCTTTAACCATCACTCCCGTGCCTCTGACAGCTGTCAGTCTGTTCCATGTATCCATGCCTCTGTTCCCATTCAGTTTATTTTGTTCATTAGATTCCATATATAAGTGAGATGATATGGTATTTTTCTTTCACTGACTGTCTTATTTCACTTAGCATAATACTCTCCAGGTCTATCCATGCTGTCATAAAAGGTAAGATTTTCTTTTAAAATATTTTAAGGAGACTTATAAACAAGAGGGAGACAAGAAAAAAAATGCAACAGCCCTAGGTTTCATTATTTTTAATATCCATTTGCTCATACACTATTTGTCTTTGTATAGAAAAAAGAAAATGTGATATTATCCTGGTTTCAAATTTTGTTTCGTCAGAGAGGTGAACTAATTATATATATATCAATGTAAAACAAGTAAATAAATAAATGTGAGAATACAGCCAAATTGCCTCTTAACAGTATTTTATTTCAAAGTTCACCATTAGAGCACTTGTAATAACACAAAAAAGTTTATAGATAAAACATCTGCCTTGGAAGAAGGACTTGTCTTGTGTGCAGAAGGGAAGGGGACCGGGTGTGGAACTCCAAGTGTACCATGGGCCTCAGTAGATCATCAGAACCCAGGATCTGAGGGGATGAACATAACTCCCAAGTGTATCCAAAATTGGCGGGGGGGGGGGGGAGAGATGGCATCAATCTGAAGATTTCAGTTGGCTCAACTGGACAACGAACAATAGGAATAAAACCCAACGAACAACAGGAATAAAACCACCTCGGCGGTATCCACCCTCTGCTGACATACTCCAAAACCCCAAACTGCAAACTAGTGTCCTTTAAAGAAATGTCTCCCTTCCAAACCTGTCACACTCCTCAAATGCAGAACTGGGGGAAGGAATGCCGATATTCCTGGATGAGCCCGATAGAATGATTGCTAAAAAGGAGCAACAGACAAACACCATGATGGAGGACTTCATAAATTAAATTCAGGCTTCGTTTTAACAAATCTCTAGAGTATTCTGCCTCGTGAAAGTGTCCTGAGAGTGGCAGCTGCGGTCTGAAAACAGTGACAACCGTGTCTGTGAAGAATACGTAGAAAGAGGTCAGAGGATAGAGCAGCAACTTTTTCTACCTTGCTTATCATTCATCAGCACCACGAAGTGTGCTGCGAGCGGACGTGCAGAAGGAAGCTCAGCCCACCGAACAGAAGGCACCAGGAGAGAGATGCTCTCTTGTGAAGAACAAGTTACTTAGGAAGGACTCTCTAGGTAAGGTTTCTAAAAAGTGACGGACGACAATGTGCCGGTGAAAGGAAAGAACATTGAGGCGTAAGTGAGCAAACTGAACGAGGTTCGGCAGACGTTCATCTCTGGGGCAGGCAGCTGGGAACCAGTTCCTCGGATGCAATGAGGCTCAGGCGGTTTCGGGGGGAGCCCGGTGTCTGCGTGGCTACACCCCTTTCCCGGCACTGGACTGCCGGTAGTGGAAGAGACTCTTGGAGTCCACGGTGCGTGATTTCTGCACAGCTTCAGCAAAAAGTTTGGTCACCTGAAAATAGAAGGGGAGGAATCTGAGCGACCCAGGCGATGTGAAATGACTGTTCAGTGAAGCAGGAGCGAACAGTTTCTGCTCCCACTCTTCAAAGGGGCATGAGATCAAAGAAACCCAACTTTTTATTTAATGGGGACTCTCTGCGATATCTCAGACCTCCCCGTGAATAAGTGTATCCTCCCCTCCTACCCCCTGAATAGGGACTAAAATGGACACAAGGGGAAAACACCATGGGCAGAAAGGTAATGAGCCTCAGAGAGCAGTTCTGCCCTCCCTGATAAAGACCTTGGGGAGTCACGTCCAAGTGGAGCTGGACATGCCTCCTGCGATCATTTTCTGTGAATTGAACAAACACTTGCACTATCTCTGGATCTTCAATGATCATTAACTTGTTGCTTTCATCTGGTGGCTTTCACTTAGAAACGTGGAAGTAAAGTTTGCATCTTTATTCCAAGCCACACCACACTTCTTGTTTTAAGGATAATTGCGCAGGTAATGAGAGAGCCATGGCTATGGTGGCTTTTGAGCATCTCAATTGCTTGATCACCAACTGTCTCCGTTAGGCCATGACCTACCATAATGGCATCGTTAGTTCAGATTCTATTTAGAAATTCTCCTCCATTCTGAATGCTACGAGGGTAGGAGACAGATGTGCACAGATCGATGAACACTCTTAAGGGGGGCACAGGAATAAGAATCCTCATGCAGCCTGGCTTTTAGGAAAAGCACATACCTGGAAATTAGTGAGGAGAGCAATTCCACTGTCAACGGCTGTCCTCCGAATCACATAATTATCGTGGACAAATTTAGTGTTGTTGTTGGGGAGGTTAATCACCAGGTCAATGCTGCCGTCTCTAATCAGTCTGGAAGAATAAGCAAAACAAACAAAAGCTTGCAGGTGGCCATGTATATTTTCTAATTAGTTTTTAAAATACTGACGTAAAGGACTCTCTCCGCCATCTGAGTCAATGCCATACCAAGCTGACTGCCCTTTGTCCTCTAAGTAAATGTTCACATTATACTATTTGGGGCTATAATTTTATCACTATGTTCTTGACAGAATTCTGGCAAAAGTCTAACTGAATGGAAAGGTTTGTTTTCTCTTTAAAAGGCTTTCTATCCATAGTAAGAATTGGTAACTTGATAGATATTTACTTGTTGTCCAGTCCACCCCCTATTTCCCCCCCAGATTAACTTCACTTGCTGCCTGCCCCAGTGCCTCTCGGCTGCTGGTAGGAGAGTGCAGGCCACCTGATTTTGAGTTAAACCATTTCACATTCTCTTGCTGGGCTGCTACACACAAAGGAGACATTCAAATGTCAAAAGCATGAAGTCATGCTAATTACTATTTTACAAAGCTCTAAGCAAGGGCTTATAACACCACTGGAAGTCTAGTAAGGTCTGAAAATTTTGCTCTTCTTTTATAATTTGATAATGATTTATAGGTTACCTTCTTAGGAGCTCTAACAAATAGTATAGTGTGTAGGATTTGGTATGACTTATCCATTTAATGGGCTGTAATATCCTGGAGCAAGTAAGAATTATCTCCCATGTCCTTATACTACACAGTCCCGTGCTCTGAAGACTCACACAGTGTGCTGCAATCATACATCTTGTATAAAAATCTAGCCTAAGGCACAGGATCTCACTTGATCAAAGAATCGCAAATTAAGGAATGCAATGACTGACATTATCATAGCTCTTGTTGTCGTCTCCTGCATGGGGCAGGTGCTCAACAAATTGACTGAGTTGTTGATGCACCACCTCCGTGACAGACAGCTGGGCAAGCTTGTACTTGACATACACATATACACATAATATAAGTTCGACGTCAAATATAAAGTTCTGTGTTACAGACTTCATGCCCATGATTTGTGGTGTCTGTCAAGGAAAGCACCCTTACTAGGAACTATTTTGAAAGATGCTACATGTCATTTTGAGCACACATGGCATTATGTGTTCATAGTGATACCAAAGTCCCCAAGAATGAAACTTTACCATCATCCACATCCCACTAGTTCCCAAAGTGAATCCTCTATCTGTTTTATCTCAGACAACTCTGCCCAGTTCTTACTTTCTGATGGAGGAGAGGCTGGGATTCTGTCCTTCCTGGGATGGCCATGCCACTGGGGTGGCAGGGACATTGTTGGCATTGAGCCAGTCTGACGTGGCTTCCGTGGCAAAGAGCTGTGTTTCAAATGAAAAAGTCAGTTACTGTACCACAGGGAAGGCTTTCAAGAAGCAAAGAGGCCGGCTGAGACACACATGTCATTTTGAACATAAAGTAGAAGAAACTGGTGAATCTGAGAAGCAATACGGTACTATGAATACAGATTCGGACTCAGTATCCCAAGCCATGAGCACTTCAAATATTTTTAAATTATTTGCAGTGATAAAAAAAAAAAAATCAATAATCTCAATTGTAACTGCTTTGTAGAGGAGAAGAATAAAACAAATTATTCACAGCTGATTATTCATTGCTATTGAGTCAACAAAGCCCAGCACCACAGGCCCACCCTGAGCCTTAGGGGCTATTTTGATTTACTAAACCAGGCTTTGTGTGAATGCATCCACAGCATTACATTTTTTTTTTCTTTTTGTTGTTGACACTATTACAGGAAGCAGTTTTGCCTGTAACTGTAGCAGCTGGAAACTGTGACTACATATGGAAACAGAAAAGGGGAAGACATAAGGAAATGCACTGCTACTTCGTCACAATTCTGTGTAAGGTAAACCTTCCAAGTTTGTGGTGACTGTATTAAAACTTCAAATTAGTCTTTCTAATTATTTTATTCTACTGAAGATGTGAAACTATGGTTAGGACACATGTTGAGCTATTTAATTCCCTTCAATGTTTCAATATTCATTTTTGTGGAAAGAGTTCAATGCTGACAGAAAGCGACTTGTAGAAATATTAATATCACATACCTTGAAACCTTCATTGTGTAATTGTTCAGCCACACCAAGGAATCTTGGACGGAATGATTGCTGAAATCAAAGGAATTAAGAACAACTTCACCTTCTAGATGTACATGCTCTGTGTTTAGCCCTATGTGACGGGGTCTTCTCTCACGCCGTCATACAAGGCAGTGCCATGTGCTGCCAGGTGTTTTACATCTAAAGATGACACGTTTTACCCTTTAATCCTCCTACAGTGAGCATGAGTTCTTACTTCTCTTCCAGTATCGGTCAAGCTCCACCCGCACTGTCTTACTCTCGGCCCTCTTACTTTTTCCCTTGCCTTCAAATTCCTGCATTCCCTGGTTAATCCACTGAAACTCTCTGTGTGATGCAGAGAGACCCTGTTTTGCACGGACCTTTTTCCTGGTCAGGGAGTATTTAAAGACACTGGGGCTAGGAGCACAGTGCCGAGTCCGCCTTGCCGGCGGCTGCCTGTTCCAGCTGTTCCAGGTGCTGAACTCAGCTCTGTGCTGCCCTTGGAGAAGCAGGCCCCGCCCTGGCTGCTCCTGCGCGCCCTGCAGTCCCTGGGAACTAAGGCCTTTGCATTTACTCTACAGCAAAGAGCAGAAGAATGGGCTCTGCAGTCACAGGCTGCGTTTCAAGCCCTGGTTTGACCATCCATAGCTGCTTAGAAAAGTCAATGTTCTGAGCTTTCGCTGCTTCGTTTTTAAAACGGCAATGAGAATAATCGTGTGCCTACTTTGGTGGGGCTCCATGATCAACTGTGTGATCTGGAGCAACTAACTTCCCCTCTCCGTGAGCTCTTTCCCCACCCGAGAAACAGGAATAGTCACAGCATCGGCATCATGGGGTCCTTGAGTGCTCTGAAGGGGACCAAAGTTTTGTCCCCCAAAACTGCGCCTTTTGGGATAATGATTTTAAGCCAGTTAATAAGAAACAAGACTCAGAAAGAATCTTAGACCCTCCTTCCTTCCTGCCTGAGAGAGTCAGATGGAAAGACCTGCTTTGGAAAGGGAATCGTAATATATTCACCCTAATATTAGATAGGAAGGCTCCAGGACCGGGCTGGTGGCTGGATCTCCACCCCCAACCCCTCATCCCTTTGTTACATTGTTTCTGAGTTGCATGGCAAGAACTTGCCTGTTCCTCAGCTTCCCATAAATTGCCTATTTCTCCTTTGGCCATAATGGCATATGAACCTGGACTGCCCGATGTGTTTCGGGTCTCATGTTTAATGACACCCTCATGTGTATTACATCCGTAATAAACTTCGTACATTTTCTCCTGTTAATCTGTTCCTGCTAATTTGATTAGCCCAGCTAGAAGAATTTACGAGGTGAGCGGGGAAAAAAGTATTCTTTTTAGCCCTCACAATTCAATGAATGATTTAAAAATAAGAAATGGTTAAGTGTTAGAAGAGTGTCTTAGCATAATTACTGGCCCATTAATAGTTCTCATTAAATATTATTAGTCTTCAAATAATTGTGTGTGTTTTTTCCTCCCAGAGACCAGATTCCTGCCCCCGCACCTTAGTTCCAAGGCTGGGTTCCCCTAAAGCCTGTCACACTCACAACACAAACCAACTCATCCCCACGTACATTTTACTTCCAGACAGGCTCCCCTAGCGTCTCACTATTCCGATATTCCCTTACAGCCTGTCGCTGTGACCTTTCTAGAGCCCCGCTGGACCGTCTAGTGTCCAGGTCCTGCCTTCCCTGGATTCCTGCTCATTGCCATCAGGGCTCCGCAGCTTTGAACATACCTCCTTCCGGTGGCCAAAAGCCGGTATTTGCAAGACAGCGGCCAGGGTGAAAGAAAGCAAAGTGGCCGACCCAAAGATCAGCCCGGACCTTGAGCTCCTGAGCATGAGTATGCGAGTCAGTGCGTGTGCAAAATCACACAAAGTTAAAAACCTCTATTCTGCTTTCAATGACACCATTTTGGCTGTTTTCCCTTGTAAAAAGTCTATACGTTGATGACAATTTGTTTACTTTAATAAATGTTTTGTGCCCTGGCCGGTTTGGTTCAGCGGTTAGAGCGTCGGCCTGTGGTCCAGAGAGACTCGTGTTCAGTTCCCGCTAAGGGCACGTACCTCGGTTGCAGTTTGTCCCCGGCCCCAGTTGGGGTTGTGCAGGAGGCAGCCACTTGATGTGTCCCTTTCACGTCAGTGTTTCTCTCTCTCCCTCTCTTCCTCTCTCTCCCTCCCACTCTATCTGAACAAAAATGAAAAAATGTCCTCAGGTGAGGATAAAAAAAAAAAATGTTTTGAGATCTACTTATTATGTTAGTTAATGTTATATTGTGCTAGTAATAGTTATAATATAACAATATAACCATTACTAATATATTAATTATATTATTAGTAATAGTTGAAAAAATCATGGATATGATCTTATTTCAGAATTTTAGAAAAACTGAAAATTGTAATAACAAAACATATCAAGATTCTTGCACAACTTTGATAATGTCCCACGCATAAAACCTCCTAATATTTACTTATAGAGTCTTTCTGAGAACAGATCTAAATCCTAGGAAAAGACCCCGAACACCGTGTTCAAAGAGAAGTCTTTCAGATTCTGGCCCTCTCAATCCAAGAACTGCAGATTTATGAGTGGAAACTATTGGCAAATAGAAGCGATAAATGCAACTGGATAAATCTCAGTTGAGGCAGGCTCAGGGGTTATTCATGGCAGTCTTCGAGAACACGAACTGTGCCCATGCCCAGAAAGTGGCTTTCCACTTCGGCTTAGGTCCAAAGAAGACAATGTGGGCTTAGCTGTAACAAGCTCATGGCTAGACACAAAAAAAATAAAATAAATAAATATAAAATCAGGGAATAACTCAGTGATGTTAGGGTAATTCAATGAGATATGTGGCCTTCTCTTTAAGAACAGGTTAGGCAGTCCAGCCAGTGTGGCTCAGTGGTTGAGCAGCGACCCATGCACCAAGAGGTCACTGGTTCGATTCCCAGTCAAGGCACATGCCCAGGTTGTGGGCCAAATCCCCAGTGAGGGGCATGAAGGAGGCGGCCAATCGATGTTCTCTCTCATCGATGTTTCTATCTCTCTCTCCCTCTCACTTCCTCTCTCTATAAAATCAATAAAGAAGAAAAAAATAAGAAAAGGTAGGCAGAAGAATAGAACCATCATTTGGTTAAGTTTGGTTCAAGTTTGATTCTGCTTAGAAAACAAGGGACAGAATTAGATGACTTTTTAGGTTTTCTTCATGTTTTTAAGTTTCTTCAAATATGGCAAATATATATGAAATATTCTAAATGAACTCCTGAATTTTGGAAGATTATATTCTGACCTTCTGCTAAACACAGAAAAAACTCAAGTAAGCACCAAAGTATATGTTAGAAGGCTCAACATAAAGGTATTCAAACAAACACTTATTGACTAATTAATATATTAATTATGAAATGAACAAATTATTCTAAATTTTCCTCTAGCAAAAAGCCACTGATAATGTATGCTCATGTGATAACAATGTTGAACCAGTTTTCTCAAACACTGTTTCTCAAGTACAGTGATTCTCAAGATGTGGTCCCCTGGAAATTTTGCATTGCCTGGAAATTTGTTTGAAATATGAAAATTTGGGCCCCACCCTAGGTCTATAGAATCAGGAACTCTGAGTATGAATCCCTGTATTCTGCATTTTAGCAAACCCTCCTGGGTGATTCTAACCCACCCTTAAGTCTGGAATAGGAGATAGGAGATAGGAGGGCCATCTTTCTCTCACTTTATCATTTGAGGTGAAGATGCACTAACCGTGGCAAAAGACACAGGGAAAAATGTCGAGGGAGGAGCACTAGAATGCAATTATTTTTTTCTTCACCATGTTAAAGTAAAATAAGTCAGCAAGTCCTCGAAGACCTGCAGACACTAGTCAGAACCTCATTATGAAGCTGTTTCAGTGCTGGAAAAGATAAATATCCTACATGACAGTATTGGCAGTTCCCAGCCAGGCAACCGCTCTGCCTCCCGGTCTGGGGTGTTGGCTTTCATAGCCACATTATAAACTTCTATCAAACATGTATTGAACACTTGTGACACATGAAACAGCCTCTCTACAGAAAGAAATTACAGCTGTCAGCTTGCATCTGCGCAGCCCCAGATTTAATAGCTGATTGAAAATACCTGGGTAAGAACCCATTTGTAACCAGAGGTGAAGAGTACAAGCTGATTTACTTCCTGGAAAATGTTTAGAGGAAAGTCCTTTAAATATATGTATTTCCTTCGATTATCGTTTTCACATTCCTCCAACTTCCGGCTGCAGAACAGAAAAGCCAAGCTAATATTGGGCGATGCCTGTGGATGTCTGCAGGGTTGTCTGGATTGACAACTCTATGGCTGTTCCTAATGATTCTGTATTGAAGATAAAAGGTTATTCAAGTCACTTGGAGTTGTCTCTTTCAAATAAAATGCTTGCTTTGTGTCTCCGGGCCACGCCAGAGCGCAGATGTCGGACTGCACTCGCCTCTCCACGAGCATCACTGAATAGCCCAATCAGAGGAGAACAAACACCCAGTGCTCTTGATCTGCTCTGGAGTAAATCACTTATTGTTAAAGGGTGTTCCAGAAAACTTCAAATCCAGGCAGATTGCCTGCTCATGGCAACTAAAAATAAACTCTGTTGAGAGGAAAGAAAGCTGGGAACACGACCGGGGAATCAAAGGTGACGCTGTTCCTATGTAAACCTGCAGTATACTTTTCTTATATGAGGACCCATGCCTCTGGAAAGCCTCTTGGTAGAGACACAGTGCATGTGATAGTTCAGCTGGCAAGGGTCCCTTGACAAAATCTAAATGCTGATTTTTTTCCAAAATCCTAGTGACATCAGGTTGATGTTATAAATATTTCTAATTTCGTAGGTGATTCGACTATAGGCTTTAACCTTGGAAGGGCAGAGGGTCTGTGTGTATAGAGAACTTGGGGAGGGGTGGAGGAGAGAAGAGAAATTTTTTAAAAGTTAAGAATACTGCAATAAAACCAATTAATGTATGCACCCCCCCCATACACACACAAACTATTTACTAAATGTTTTGAAGTGACTGATATTTGCTAGTAATAATTACTATTTAAAATATCTGCCTAAAAGTATATATATTTTGTTAAACCACCAACAATAAGACAAATGTTTCCTGACTCAAAGTCATTTTGACCTCTTCTCTTTTCCCAATTTTATCTTACAACCTGATACAAAATATTAATAATAAATTAAGGCATCTCCAATTACATTTTTCTACTCATACCAGGCAGGGGGGTCAGGGTGGGGGGATGAGGAAAAAAGAAGACCTTTACTTCAAATAAATGGGATAGATATTGACCACCCTCCCCATTCATACCTGAAGGAATAATCGGGCTGATTAACTGCGACAGTGCTGGCTACCAATGCTCTCCTATTGGTTTTCCTCAATACCAAGAGGAAACAAGAATGCCTCCAATCTGATGCTGACACTCCGAGTCAAGGCTGCACACATGCTAAACCAACAGTTATCTTAAGAAATCAAAATGCATTTGTGGACTTTTTTTATAACTTTATTAAGTAACTCAACTAAATGCTTTCCCTTGTATTTACTGGCCCTAACGCCCTCAATATATTAGCAGTCCTCTTTTAGGTCCCTTTAAGTTCTGACTCTATATATTCAAATGAATTTACATGAATTCTTCTGTCCTGATGGAATTATGTTAAATCAACTGATTTCCTAAAAGTACACTGTATCCTGAGATATAGAACCCTAATTACTTTGTCCACAGCTGCTATGAAGTTTGGGTAAAAAGTGGCGATTAGATTTGGTTCCATTCTGACTAGGAAGATGCCCGGTGACTTTTATCGCTAGTAATTCTCTCATTAGTATGTTCTGTCAGAATTCTCAGTTAAATTTATGACTACATATTTTTTAAACTCACTATACATGGAAGTCCTTCATACAGTAATGGTGAGACTATACAGTAACTGTTGGTGACGGCCACTTTCCTGGCCTCCCGTATAAAGTTGGTCAGAAAACTGATACTTATATATCTCTGAAGGCTTATAGCCATGCTGATCCAATTTCCACAGCTGTGAATACTGTATTAAATATAATTTTATTAAATATTTTCTTTTTCTTTTTGTAATTAAAATACATATATATTTCAATTCCTAAGATAATGCACTCATACACAGGGAGAAAGTTCTTTGCAATAACTCATGTTGGAACATTGATTTCTTTTTTTTTTTTTTTTTTGATATTTTGTTCAGAGAGAGAGAGAAATATCGATGTGAAAGGGACACATCAAGTGGTTGCCACCCTCACAACCCAACCAGGGCCGGGGACAAACTGCAACCGAGGTACATGCCCTTAGTGGGAACCGAACCCGGGTCTCTCTGGACCGCAGGCCGACGCTCTAACTGCTGGGCCAAACTGGCCAGAGCACATTGATTTCTTAAAAAAAAAAAAAAAGTACAAGGAAACGTAGAAGCTCAATGGACAGAACCTCTTGCTTAAGGAAATTCTTTTTTTTTCCCTTAGAAAACCCATTTTTCCCTGCAAAGCAAAAATCCTGTTCACGGATGCCAGAACTACACAAATACTTCACAGGGATCACACTAATCTTTGCCTCACTTTTCCCTGCAGCACTGGAGCCAAACAAGGCACCGTTTATACATCACTGCCTTTTTAACTGATATTTTAAAATGTGAGCACTATATGATTAGTTGTGAAGAGGGGGATTAAGGGCATGGTCTCCTCTGAACGCCCCCAGGTCTCACATTAAACTTTAAGCCATAACTGAAAGTTGGGCAAATACTCTCATATTTGCAACTTAATAATACTTAATACCCATTTATAATGTAATGAGTCTCTCATATGGTGTGATGTGTCTCTAAACTGCCATTAAGATTTGCAATAGCAAGTCATCTTGTTAGTCTCTGCTCTAACTGTTCACCATCACCCTTTTGGCACCGTTATAAAGCAAAATCCCAACTTACTCTCTGCAAAACTCCTCCGAAGCTACTACCCCATCCAGTCTCCAGGGTCTAATTTGCAGATATTAAGACACCCTAATGAGATGGCATGTGTAATAATCACCTACTGGCTTGAGAATACCTGGTACTGTTCTAATTATATTTTAATTATTTTTATGTAACCATGTGGGGTTTGAGCTTATTAAAAGTACGGCAGGGGTGATATATAAAACTATCTATTGTTTGCAAAGAATTCAAGAATTACTAATCTCAAAAGAAAGTGAATGACCCTTTGGAAGCATCTAGCATTTTTCAGAAAATTTATAAATAGAACAAGTTTTACATTCTTGCAATAAGTATTCCAAGAAGTAGTAACCGACGTTTCCTGGCTACCATTTTGCACTAAGATTGATATTTGACTTGAAATAATAAACCAATAATGTCCTTTTCATTATATGAAGATATTCACTTATAGTGATTGCACCCTGCTGTGAATTAGAAGGCTTACCAAATAATAATATCTGAAGAATCTCTGCAGTACAAGTGGGATATGCTGACTTTCTTAAACCCATTGAGCCATTGCCCTGTCAAACCTTCAATTAGTCATGGAGAGCCAGGCTGAGAGGATTTCTCAAATAATGCCCATTTCGTCTTCAACTGTGAATCACTGACATTTAGTAGAAATGGAAATGTGAGTGAATGAATGGAGAACGGGACAAACAGAGGTCAGGATGAGGATAACACTGACTTCAGTTTGGAAGATGTATTGGGTTTGAGACATCAGATAGAGGTGTCCAGCGGACTGTTGGAAATAGGAGACAGCTAAGGATTAAGATTTAAAGGTGATTATTATATATGGGAGAATGAATACTGTAGACATAGATGAGCTGGAAAAGGGGAAAGTCAAGGGATGGAGACAGACATAGACTGAGAGAGGGGGGAGGAATAGGTGAGACCCAACCTTCCAGAAAGCCTATGCTCGGGGCTAAGGAAAAAGAACTAAGAGAAAAATATACAGAAAAAAAAATGTAACCAAAGAATAAAAGAGATTCCTTTATAAGGTACCCTAACTTTCTTTCAGAACAAATACCCTTTTCTTTCTGTCTTTTTTATTTATTCATTATTTGTATCGGCCACTACAATGAAAAAGGCAGAAATCAGGGGACATACAGAACACAAATGACCATTCTGTCTATAAGTGCTATTTTCTTTTGAAGAACTTGAAACAATTCTCCCTCTTCTATAGGGTAGTTAAGGTCCCTTCCCCCAGCCATTCCCAGGACATACCCGCAGGCATGCACACAACCCCAGACCACATACCTGGATGCCAATGAGGATGCCTTTCTGGGGTATCTTAAATCCTGTTGAAAGCATTGCCTTTAGGAAAGCTGTATGTATACCTTCTCCAAAACAAGCCACCTGTTTAGAATAAATTTTAAAATAATAAAATAAACTAAAAGGGAGCAAATAATCGCCAACCACTTTTACAAAAAAACAGAAAACACAACTACAAATAGACAGCACTTTATTCACAGGCTCCTTTGCTAGGTTTTATTGAGTTGCCCATGCAATCTAAACCCAGGGATGAAAAGGCTGGCCAGGGCAGATGTATCTTATGTTTTTAATTAAGCATAATGAATGAATAAGCAATTCTTTCTCTATCCAACAACACTCCATGGAACAACATAACTGGATTCTACTGTGAGTTATTTGGATACAAATCACAGCTTCTGGTCCATAATGTGGTGAGCTACCAAATGTTAATATGACATAATGCTTCAATAACAGTGTACGTTGTGTGTGCTATGCAACTGTGCGTGAATTCACAGGTCAGTAGCACAAATGCATAACTGCTGATCAATCGGTTAGGAGTCATTTCACACAGCTTATAAGAAAGCCTTCTGAGCCATTCAATAAACCCATGAAGATCCCAAAGGAGTTTGTCTGTTTTTTTTATAATTTTCATAGAATGAACCTAAATACCATGCTACTAGCCCTGAATCCCACAGCCAGAAGTAAAATATAATTGTAAACTAACACGTAATGTCACAAGATATAGAGGCTCCGTCTACGATAGTTGTGTTATAATGTAACTACGAGTCACACGGCCAGCACGATCATAGAACAAGTGGTATACAGCAACATGATGGGACTAGACTCTTCCATGCACATCATCATTTCACACAGGAACAGAACCATCGTTACAGTAAATAACACTGACGGCTAAATTCATTCTGTAAGCAAATGACTCCCTTACTGTGAAACGAAAGTTCCCATCACTTTGACCTTCAGCTGACCACCAGTATACAGGGTGGGGCAAGAGTAGGTTTACCGTCATGAGTACATGAAGCACAAAGTTTATTCTTGTATTATTTATTAATTATTGTATTATTTTCCATATAAACTACTGTAAACCTACTTTTGCCACACCCTGTATACTCCACAGTGAAGATTTTCTTTTCTTTGGTCAAATTCTGGCCAACTATCTGAATGGAACCCAAATTCTAATGAAAGAAACCAGGCCACGCTATCATAATTGCAGATACAACAATACAGAAGAGGTTTCAGCAGTTTTGTACAGAAAAACATATAAAAAAAACTCAGATATTCAAGTAAAGATTAGGACTGATATCCCCACCTCACCAGTAGGAATATAAAATGCTCCTCCCCTAGATCTGGAGCTGAAGGTTCATTCAATCCCTCAACAAGCCATTTGAATACTGAAAACATCTTTTCGAAGCATAATTGACATTTCACTGAGCTAGAATTATTCTGATTTCAGTTATACAGTAGACCTCGTAACATCACACTGGAAATATGACCCCAGTAGTGGAAGAAGAATTATCTCTTTTTATGTTTCGGGAAAAAATACAACAAAGGGAAAGTCAACTTTCTATTCTTTCATATTTCCATAGGTCAATAACTCCAATGATGTACGTCTGGAGGCAGAAAGGACTTCGGCGCTGAAAACAGACCTGCCACACTAGAGCAAAGGGCATGAAGGAAAACAGATTTCTCCTTAATCTGAACCCTGGACCAGCTGAAAATGGCCCTGCTACTGAGTCACCATGGCATCAAGATACACCGGGAAAGAGCCTCCTTCAAAGGCCCAGAAATGAAATGGAGGCCCCCCTCCCACTTTAAAGTTAGGTTTTCTCACCTATTAAATTAAAAGCAGTTGCAAAGGAGCTAAGAGAATGCAATTATCGTTCCAAATACAAACAAGATAACCATTTATCCCCCACTGCCAGCCGCCCGGTCTCACTTGGCTTCTCATCACAGACCTTGCTTGTAACCAGGCAACCACATAAAACATCCCGTATTTATTGCAATTAAATGTTTCCCCTTTCAGGTTTTCCTCAATACCAAGAGGAAACAAGAATGCCTCCAATCTGATGCTGACACTCCGACGTGCACGGGTGAGAAAGTGAAGGTTGTATCTGGTACGTCTGTCAAGGGCTAGGTGATTTATAAAACGTCCTGACACTGACATGTAGGGAACTTTCTAGAATCTGACAGCTCTCTACAAGGAACACATTTCACATTCTTGAAGAAACCTTCAGCTGACAGAGCCTCAACACAAGTGAAGAGGGACATCCAGTGGCCAGTCCCATTATAATTTTTAGATAATCCCCAAGAGATCAAATTCACTTTGAACGTGGCTCTGAAATTTTGCATATATTTTTTGCGTGTTGCACAGTATTTAGGTCCATGATCTTTCTAATGCTGTATAGTCATTTCACATATTGCTAGTAAAAATCCACTGGTCTAATTGGGGGGGGGGGTGATATTGCAGTGAGACCCGAGAATCTTAAAATAAAAAGAAAGACCTAGAGATGTTTGAAAGATATTCTCCATGTGTAAAGTGGAAATGAATTAGGGACACATGTTGAAATACAAGTGAAAATTTACTCTGATACCCAAAAGTAAAAGATTTTTCTTTAGCTCAAAGTTCTTAAGCCCTTTCAGACTTACTCTGATAGCAGAAGTTTAGGTCCCCTTACTATTTACTAACTTACTCTATTCAGATCATAAAACCATATATTGCAAAGCAGATTTAATGAGCATCCATGGAGCCTTGACCAATTACCTCTCCAGTGGAAGCCATCTCGCACCGCAGAATGGGGTCAGCATCCCTCAGCCGGGGCCAGGAAAACATGGGAGCCTGTCAGAAGCAACAGGGGAAAAATATGTGAGAAAGGTATAAACGGATTAAGAGAGAAAAAAATACATTTACTGAATCATCTCTCACACGATTCATTTAGGCTATGGTAGACATGTAAAAAAATCTCTTTGGTCCAAGCATCTGACTTGAAAAATAGCTTTAAAACTCTGTTCCAAGAATTTCTTGAGCTCTTAGCCAAAAACTTGGGTTAAATAATCACAAATTATTTCTGTAAATAGGGCCCCTGTGACCGGTCCAAGCCAGTGTTTCTAATCTGGCCTACACAGAGTCTTACTGGAGTGATTTCAAACGAAGTCTACTGGGCATTGGTTTACCCAAACACCGAGTTCAAACACATTTTTCTCTTGGTTGGCTTTTGAAACATTCCTCTTCTTGTTTTGATCATTTGAACTTGCTACAAGCCACCTTGCCAGAAATTTCTGTCTGTGAGCTGACTTCTGAGATATTAAACTGTTGTTGACACCTCTTTAAAAGCTTTGAAAAACATTCTGCTTGGAAGCACTTTTGCTCAGAACTTTTATATGAACTAGACTATAGATAGGAGTACTTTTCTTTCATTCATTTTTATCAGTGCAACTCACTGAGAACCAAATTCTTATTTCTCACATATATCCATCTATCTAGTCTAGACTCTCTCTCCTTGGATTCTGGCACCCCTCTGAGTCATCATAGGAACTGTAGGTTGGAGTCATGTCACTGGGTCATTCATCTTAGTCAACTTCTTACACATTCCTGCACTCCAGCTTCTCAATACCCTCACCTGTTGATATCCACCCACCTCACTAGAGCTATATAAAGCTCGACTATAAGTAATTTGAAAAAGTAGATTCATATACAATAATAACTAGGATAGAAGTAAACTGGAAGATATAGTGAATTTTGAAAAGTGCATATCTATCCATCAATATTGTTTTTATATTTTTTATTTTTGTTAGTCCTCACCTGAGGATATTTTTCCATTGATTTTTAGATAGAATGGATGGGAGAGGAAAAGACAGAGAGAGACATGAATGGGAGAGAGACACATCAATTGGCTGCCTCCGCTTGACCCTGACCAGGACTGGGGATCGAAACTGCAACTCAGGTACCTGCCCTTGACTAGGAATCGAACCTGAGACCTTTTGGTCTGCAGGCTGACGCTCTAACTGCTGAGCCCAACTGGCCAGGATATCAATATCATTTTTAGCAGGACACTGTTTCATCTTAAGTAAGATTGATAAAGACTTTTTATTTATAGCTTCAACTTAAAGCTTCCACGGTATAAGTCAGAAGTCAGAGTCTCTACTGTAACACAATTATGGTTGAGGTCACTAGTACATGTAGGAATGCAAGTCTTTTGAAGGCATCTAAAATATGTGTGTGTCACATAAATATATCACTAGATATAAATTAATTTTGTGTGTGCTTCATCTAAAAACTTCGTAGGTGTTTATATAATATGTCACTAATCCTCTTGCCTGTCCAGTAAACTACTTAGAGTCCTAATTATAATTGTTCTGTGCATGGACACACTAGACCAGTAGTTCTCAACCTTCCTAATGCCATGACCCTTTAATACAGTTCTTCATGTTGTGGTGACCCCTAACCATAAAATTATTTTTGTTGCTACTTCATAACTGTAATTTTGCTACTGTTATGAATCACCATCGGAAAATATGTGTTTTCCAATGGTCTTAGGTGACCCCTGTGAAAGGGTCGTTTGACCCTCAAAGGGGTTGCGACCCACAGGTTGAGAACCGCTGTACTAAACCCTTAGAGAAGCACAGTGGCTTTATTACATGTTATCACTAGAAATAGATGTATATACCAGAAATTCATGAAGAAACCCTTAGGTTTTCTCAGTCACTCTTCATAAAGGTATTGGCAATGTTGTCACTTTCACATCCGCACTGTGAACAGAAACTGCCATCTCAACTTGTCAAGTGGGAAAACTGTGCCACCAAGAAAGTAGAGACTAAGCCAAGATCACAGGGGAAAGACGTTTTCAAGATTCATGTGTTCTTGAAGTCTTGGCACAATTCAAAAGTGGCTCAATTTAAGCCTTGCCCTAACAATATATATGTTTATGATTTCTGTTTACCAGCTAAACTGGCACCATCAGGCACCAGCTGCGTGAACGTAGTTTATAATTCACTCAGCTTGTCGGTTTTGAAGTTACACAGTTCCAAACGATTTTCAAATCTCTCTCAAATACACAGTAGTTTACATAAAGTTGACGTAGAGCACCTGCTGTACATTATTCAAAGGAAACATCCTAACTCCCTAGTCCAGCATTTCACTTAGAAGGTTCATAACATATCACGATTCTTTTGATGAAAAATTGTTCCTTTAATTTCCTTGGAATTTACAAAAATGGCTAATAGATTTTTTTCCCCCAAATATTACCTTAATTGCAACATAGTCAGCAGGAATGATGGGATGCTCCAATGTTGGAAGAGGTTTCTCATCAATGTTCTCTCCAATCATCACTTTGGTGGCCACATCAATGAAGTCCACCCCAAGGGTCTTAGAAACAAAGGGGAAGGATCGAGAAGCTCTCAGGTTACACTCAATCACCTAGAGAGAGAACAAAATTCAGAAGAAGAGAAAAAATGGTGAGAACTCATGACAACAATGTTAATATACAGCAGTTGGTTCCAGCTGATACTGACTGGGGCCCTGCCCCTGTTTTGCCAGCTTCTGCCTTTACTCCCATTGCCTGCACTTTTGCTAACTGGTTTTCTTTCATTCAGTATCTGTACCTCTGACTTTCTTTCCCCTTTGCACAGCCCCATGGCCTCACACTGCTGACAGACTGACGTAACGCAGAGCTCAGATACTCCCACATCCCCACCATAAGCCTTCACGGGACTTTCATTGGCCATCAGATTAAGGACAAGGCCTTGAAGGCCTTCTACCCTCCTGTCTCAGGATGACCTCATGTTATCTTGGACCACCTACATGGCCCCAGTCTTACATTCCAGTTTACCTTGCACTATTTCCCTAGGGAAAAAATGATCTTTTCTTTAGTCACTATCTCCTAAAATATGTAGAATTTTCTCATAGATTTTTTTTATTATTACTTTAGAGAGAGAGGAAGGGAGAGAGAGATAGAAACATCGATGAGAAAGAACATCAATTGGTCGCCTCCTGCATGCCCCCCACTGGAGGTTTGTCCCACAACCTGGACATGTGTCCTGACCAGTTACCGGTGACCTCTTGGTGCATGGGTCGATGCTGAACCACTGGGCCACACCAGCCAGGCTTTCATAGATGTTCTGTGTGAAATGTCCTCTGTGAAATGTCCTCTCTAACTTCCTTCCAGCCATTCTTTAAGATCAAGCTCAAAATACAAAATCTTCCTTAAAATCTTTTATAATCCACTTCAAATCAGACAACCAGACAAATTACACTCAAATACATGTTCATGCATGTACATGCATGCACATGTGTGCATGGGCAAACACACACACACTGGCAGATACACTCTCTCGCTCTCTCTACTCCATGCTGCTAATACCGTTTCATTTGTACATTCCTTCTGGTAGCTATTGTACTCTAACCTATGTCATGGTTATCTACAAATTCATCTTCTTCCTAGTCCTCACTGAATTAACAATCTTTGGGAGCAGAGATTGTGTTTTATAAATCTTCGTAACCACCATATGACTTTGCATAGCAGATGCTGAATCAATATTGGTTACGGATAGGTAAAATGAAATGAACTAAATTAATTAAGACTAACCTAGTTGATTTGACACTTTATATTTTTTGGTAAATAGTATACACAACAGCTTTCTTTTCTGGGAAAGAGTAAAGCAAAACTTCAGTGCATGTAATGTATGCCTATTATACTTGTTCAGTTTACGGTAGTCACTGTATCCATCTGTACTGTAGGTAGAAGACAGTGATCTTTCCAATAGACAGAGTGCTTTACAAAGCTGCATCTAACAGATCAGCGCCACCAAGAGCCTATGCTTTGAAACTAGGCAGGCATTATATGCTATGAAACATCTTACACCCAGTAACTAGCAGCGGCAGGGTCTCAGTTGCTCTGTGGTTGTGTTCACCGTGAAGATTACCACAGGTACACAAACCAACATTACCTAACACAGTAGTGCCGTTCTCTCAAACACCTTGACATTTCTTACCAAGACATCATTTCCTTTGACAAGAAATTGGACGTTGAATGGGCCAGAGATGGCAAAAGCCTTTGCGATCTTTCGCGTAGCATCCTTCACCTAGATCAAAAGAACAGTAAGATAGTGACCAAAATACATCTTAGATAAAAACAAACAAAAAAATGTTACAGAACCTCAAGTTTATATTTCTTTAATTTATCTTTACAGAGAGCTACATTTCCAATAATTATAATAATAACAATAATAATAGCCACTATTAGTCTTCTACTAACAAAATAATATATGCTAAATATTCACACCAGAATACCATGGGGGAAAAAACAAATATTTCACAGGATTATTTCTCTGCCAAATGCTCCGATCTACCTACAATAATAGATTCTGGTTTAACTTTGGAGGCCTAAAAAAATCCTTTTACTTAGTTGCTTCAGGACCAGAAACTGAGACCAAACTCTATCAGTCTAATGACCCACCAGCTGAGAGGTGCAGGCCAGGAAATTACATGGTACTGCAAAAATGCCGGTGAGATTTCTTGTACGTGCTTTTCTGTTGCCCTGGACTCTTCGAGGGTAAATATTATGGTCAGAATATTACGGCGTTTCCTTGCAGGGAGGGTCTGCACATCACATATAGGAATTTCTGTGTCCTACAGCCAGGGCCAGAAGGTGCCACCCTAAGAGGTGGCACTGGATGGGAAGTGAGAGCTCCATATTCATTTCACTTACAAGAGCGGTTCTGCAACTTAACTGGTTATAAAAGGAAGCAGAGGCCATGGCACACTGAGCTCTGAGATCTGGAAAAATCAGAGCTCTTGACACCATGTATTCTGATAAGAGAAACTGAAGCACTTTGGAATCGGCATGTTGTTCTCTGGTGTTACAAAGCATCCTGCTCCCTTCTCATTCTAGAATAAGGTATGACCTTCAGAATCCAACCCAATGCACAGTCAGCCAGACCGGCTTGCCTAGATTCTGATGGCAGGATGACTAGAAAGACTCACTAAAAAAGCCAAACTGACCTAAACTACTGACTACTAGAGTAACATCTGCAAGAATTAAGACGAGAGTCTCTAAGAATACACCTAGCAATGCATACTGAGAACTGAGGCAGTCTTCATTCTTGGGAAGGTCTTTAAAGCAGTGGTTCTAAAAGAGGGGTGAAAAGCCACATATCAGAAAGTTCTGGTTGAGGTGGGGTTAGGGGTGAACAGTGACAGCATCAGTTGCATAAGATTCCCGGACTGCTGTTTACCTGCTTCTAACCGCGAGAACTTGCCTTACAGGCTGCTCCCCTGTGAGTAGCTCCCACACATTAGCATCATATGCAGCCCACTTTTCCAAAGGTGGTCCCCCGACCAGGAGCAACAGCCTCACTTGTTTACAATGTGAATTATGGGGCTCTGCCCAGATCTACGGAATCAGAAAGTGGGGGTCGGGTCCAGGAAGCTGTCCTTGCACAGGTTCCCCAGGTGGTTACGATGCGCACAGAGGCAGAGAACCACTGCGCAAGCGCACAAGCGACACCACAGGCAGGGAAGGAGACTGTTGTCCTCATCATTAATTTTACCTGGAGCATGTCCTATATTGCTACCTGGCTGTAAAAAAAACAAAACTGTTTTATCTTTGCTCTTTCCCCTTCGCCTTTTATTTATAAATGATGACCTTTTCAATGGCTCCTTGGCTGATGGTTTGTGTGGGCAGCATCAGAGTCGCATCTCCCGAGTGGACACCTGCGTCCTCCACGTGTTCAGACATGGCATGGGAGATAACCTGGCCAAGACACGATTTGAGAAAGAGTTGTCAGGTACCTGCTTCAATGAAGCCACTGCCTTGCCCACCCCTTTGATTCCGACAGCCGCCTGGAGCATTGACCGGCGTCTTTGCAGAGTCCCCGAAGAGGAGAGGAGAGGAGCTGAGCTCGCAGACGTGTCAAGCCCCCCATGCAGTGACAGATTGCCTCTGGGGGAACCTGAGAGTGGCTGAGAGCTTCCCTCCCTCTTCCATTGATGAGAACAGGTGTAAATAATAGCAAAAGAGAACAACTACACCAACTCCTGTTGACATTTAAGAGCAGATAGAAAACTAAAGCCTTGGGAAGGGACTGCAGATAACTTTATTTTTTCCTTCCAGGTTAGGTTTTAGACACTGACAAGGAAAGAAGATGGGAGAGATCAATATCTAGCTAGGTATATGTCACAACTTAGGTGAACCGGAAAGAACATTCCAGATCCAAAGATCAAGATATCTTTACATTGAATTTGGAAAGAGGAGGGAAGTTAAAGGACAATATTCTTGTCCTCTTTTGTCGGTGAGGAAACTAAGGTAATAGAAGAATAAACGACTCAGGTACTGTGATGACTATGAGGCCAAGTCAGGATTTTGAACTTTTATCTCTCAGATTCTAATGTTTACGCCTCGATCACTGTAACTGAATGTTAATAGCGTGTGTCTTTGGGAAAGACCAGCGTGCAGGAGAATAATTGGGTGACTGTAAAAGACTTAGACTACAGAGAAGATTTACTTATCAGATTTATAGATGACTTAGAGCACAGTGACCTCTGAGTCTCAGGCCTCCCACTGTCTCTTGCTGTCTGTGACCTGGGCAAGATCTGGTAACACGGGAATAACAACAGGATCTGTCTCGCAGAATGTTTGTGAGGACAAAAGGACACATGTCCAGTGTCTGGCATGATATTCTGTGCATAGTAAACACTTAATTTTTTATAGTGTGTAGAAGTGAGGAGGCAAGAGTCCAACTGAGCACTGAAAACAGGATCTCTGAAGTCCTATGTCCGTCTCTGAATGTGACTCATTAAAAACACTGTGAATGACCTGGACCATTTCCAAAGGGGGGCGCCCGGGATGAAGAATGCAAAGCAGTGGCTGCATCAGACCACAGCTTCAGGAAGAGCTGATCTTGCAACTTGGAGCCAAATCAGTCCAACAGACTAACTTTACCAGCACAGAATTTGACAAAAATGTGGACTTTTCCAAGCCAGTCTCACAGTCCCCACTTCCACACTGGTATGACCACGTTTCTCTTATCTTATAACTCAGTCTCAAATATTGAAAACATTGAAAAAGTGGAAAGACTAAACATATATTCCACAATTCTGGAAGTCAGGAAGTCGGGGAGAAAAATTCTAGAGAAGCAGACTTTAGTACAAAAGAAAGAATATGTGTATATATAAAGCCAACCCCCAAACCATCATTATTATATATATTTATATAGTTTTAACTCATTTTGACCTGTTAATCTATAAGACAAAAAAAATAAATAAATAAGATCTTCCGTAGTGCTTTGAAGTATCCACAAAGTAGAAGATAAAGGCCTCTTATATTTTCTTAAAGTAAAAAAATAACATGGACTTTCTAAAACATAACTTCTATATTCAAGATAAACCATAAATGCCTGATTACACAAGGAGCAAACTGAAGGAAAACATTCTTCACATTTTTGTTTCTCCCTGAAGTTGGACACGTTCGATGCATTAGCAACATGAGGGGTGATATGGGAAGCCAATTTCATGTTATTATCATTATCCACCCTGCTCGGTTTGGCTTTGCTTTTATTAACCCAATAAAAAGAGGGCGGGTGAAAAATCCAGAGAAGAAAAACTACGGATTCAATTAGGAACTTGAGAAAGAAAAGTATTGGATGTTTTTATAACATCCGCTGGGACATAAAAGGAAACTCGAACAAAAGAAAATGAGAGAGAAAAATCTATTCAAAAAAGAATGAGACAGGATGATAATTAATTTTGAATATTATCAAAGAGAAAGCCCAACAGTATGAAACACAGGAACGATGATACCCATGACACACCAGCAGAGTTGTCAGTGAACTGGAAGATTTTTTTGGCTGAGCAGCTTGTCCATTATTATTAGAGACCTGTTTTGTAGAAATCATAAACTCTAAATCTGTGTTATATTTCAAAACTGCCAAGAAAAGGAATATATGATGGGCAGGCAGGGAGGGGGCAGACAGAGATGAAGTACTTACTCTTCCTTCTTTGCCGACAGCATCCATTTCTACTTCCCGGGCCCCCTCAATAAATTTTGTCAGCACCACTGGGTGTTCCTGTCATCAAGGAAAACAGAAGGACAGAACCTTTAGCTGAAATTATCTGTGCAGTTTTAAGCAAGCCAAGTACCTTAAGTAAATAAATACCAGGACAATACTTGCAAAAAAAAACAAACCTAATGCTAAACACACTACACCCACCCAAGAGCCAACTTTTTTTATAAGAACAAGGTCATTCTCTGCTTACAGTGAGAAAGAGGGTGTTTCTCGAAGTTTCAGCACTCAGCGCACTGAACATGAGTTTTAAAATTTCTCATACAGGCTTCTAGGTGAGTTAGAGGAAACGGGGGTGCTAGGGAGAGGGCAGAATGGGGTTCCTTTTCTGTTTCCAGAGTTATGGACAACTTACGGAAGAAAATATCTATTTTATTAATAAAAATTTATTATTGTTGGTTCAGGTTCTTTCTGCCTTCCTACACTTATCTTTCCCAAGTACTAAAATTTCCTAGGTAAGTGCTCTGTATGAGAATTGTAAGAGAATTCAGAAACAGAGTCAGTGACATTTTGTACAGTTTTATTAAGCCAAAGATGGGACCCTTTACCTAGAATTGATATGCGTTGAACCACTTCTAAAGTATGACATTTGCAATTGCAAAATCAAACATTTTTCTTCACTAATCTTAAAGCTGTTTCAGACTCCTTATCGTTCTTGAAGTTCTTCCCACACTCAGTTCCTTCCTAACTGATACAATGACGTCCACAACCAGATCATGTGAAGAGGCTGAAGGAGCAGCTCCGGGGTGGGTGTCTCTCCTCTGGCCCAGGCACCAGCGACCCACACCACTCACGGTCTTCTTACCAGACCCTGCTTTTACCTGTCTCCGTCGCCCTTTTCCCCAAACACACGCCACCTTCTCTCCTCAGCTTCATCTTTCAAAACTCAACGGGTCCTTCAAGGCCTAGCTATATGCTGCCTCCTCCCTGAAGCTTTCTCTGAACACCTCTTCCCCTCTGAACACAAACTCCTTTCGGCCACTGTCATGGAGTTTACCGTCTTATGCAAGTGTTCAATTTAATACATCTTATGTTCTTTAAGAGAAAACTTTAAATACAATAGAATTGGTAGAAAATTCAAAATAACCAGTGTCTTGTGCCACAAATACACTTTACCCTTCTGAAATTGTATTATTAAATGAGGCAAATCTCCACGCTTAATTTTTATCGCAAGCTACGGAGCATGCAACGGTGTATTAGCCGAAAACAAAAATAAGTTTAAAAAATTCTTTTCATCCATATTCCCCCCTTTTAAAATACTGAGTGTTCAGTGTGGCAGGCTGGTCAAGCTGTGCAGAGACCTTTGTGGGCTTTCTCTTTTTTTATGATGATAACATTATAACTTTGTAAAAAGATCAACTTGACCAGCTGCCTGAGTCTCCCCAGTCAGGCCTGGGACTTGGACTCCTGCTCAGGGGATTTACTGAGGGAGTTAGAAAAGCAGGCAGGGGCAGCAGGAAAAAGTGAGTTAGTTTGTGGTCTCCATGGAGGCTGGAATCAGCCTTACCCCACGGGGAGCTCTGGAGCAGGAACTGCAACTCAGAGTAAGTCTGACCTGAGGCAAGTCGGCAAGTTGGCCACTGGCTAGGGTTTGGAGGGTGGTGGTGAGGTGAGGGACCTGCCTCCCAGTGGACGGGGCTCCGCCTCCTTGGACTGAGAATGGTTACCCAGAGAAGTCCAGTTGGGAGGCACTACCAGCTATCACAGCAGTTGGGGGGTGGTTGCTCCCACAGATAAAGGGATCTGAGTGGGACAACAACAGTACCCACCATCCTGGACAAGTGAACAAATTTATGAAACAGTCTTTACTATAGTGAGGAAGAAAATGTCTTCATAAATGTCAACCTTATGGCACCATTATACGTTGTGGCTTATACTTTCTTATTTGGTCCCCACGAATCACCTCCTCAGGCTTCTTCCAGATTCTCTTTTCTCAGCCTTTAAATCTGGCATTCCTCTTTTCTCTGTCTTAGCTGTTCCTTTTCCTCTATACCCTTTCTTTGGTGATTGCTCCCATTCTCAAAGCTTCAACTGAAATGGGATGTTATTTATTTTCCAAATATGTATTTACATCTCTATCTTAGGGCGTGATCTTTATCCTCGATTCCACATCTATAGAACCCTCTGCTTTCAAAGCATGCCCACCTGGATTCCCCAAAGGCACCTCAAAGTCAATGATCCCACCATCCACCCAGCTGTCCATGGCAGAAACTCAGGAGTCACCCACTGTCCTCTTCCCCCCTGCTTCTGTCCACTCACGGATTGCCTTCAGGGCACAGCCTCGAGATCTCTAGAAGGCAAGCACTTCCGTCCATCCTCACTCTCCTCGCTCCGACCCAAGGCCGGTCATGTCTGCTCTGAGCTATAGCAGCCTCCTAACCTCTTTCCATGAACTCAGCCTTGCCCCAGAATTCACTCTCTGTATTACAGCAGAGTGATCTTTTAAAAATAGAAAACATGACTAAAATCCAAACTTATATCATGGCTGACAAGGTCTTCATTATCTGCTCCTCAACTGTCTCCCATTCCACCACGATTACAATCAACCCTTCCCCCCATGCCGGTGCCCCAGCCATGCAGTGAATGCTCCGTCCGTTTCCAGAGACGCCATGCCCTTTCTCAGCTTCAGACTCTTACAATGTTGTTCTTTCTTCCTTCTCACACTCACTACGTAAACCTTTTAACTATGAATCAACCATTTTAGACCAATTTAAAAGTCCTTTTTTCAGGGACTGGATTCCAATACTTTGACACTGTAGCTCAACATCAGGTATTTTTTTCTACTGCAGTGCTCATCATATTTAATTGCAATTATCTGATGTCTCTAGCAAAGTGAGTCCTCCATGAGAGCAGAGACTGATCTCTCTTTTGATGAGTCTAACCCTGGTACTGAGAACAATGCCATCATATAGCAGGTGCTACACAGATGAGTGACTGATGGGGGCTGGTTTTACTCTAGAGTCCCAGAAATCAGTATCCCAGATTCTGGTGTAGTTTGACGGGGAGACTTCCACCAGAAACTACTTAATCAGGACATCTCTATTAGAACATATTGGTCCTGTAAGGCTTCTACTCACATGCTATGTGGGATCTAAAGAACAAAATAAACTGATGAACAAAACAGATCCAGAGACATGGAAGCAGGGAACAGACAGATGAACCTCTGAGGGAAGGGGGCAGGAAGAAAAAAACCAAAGAACTTATATGCATGTATGCATAACCAATAGACAGACAATAGTGTGATGAAGGCAGGGGGCAGGAGTGGAGACAAGGGGGGGCAGGAGTGGAGACAAGGGGGGGCAGGAGTGGAGACAAGGGAGGCAGGAGTGGAGACAAGGGGGAAAAACAGGGGACATCTGTAATACTTTCAACAATAAAGATAAAGTAAAATATTCTACCAAGTAGAGGCCCGATGAGATCCAGTTTTCCAGGCAAAAAAGAGGCTACCTGCCTCATCACTCACGTGAGACCAGCTAGATATGGCTGCTGCTTTCTCCAAAGGGCCGTGCGACAGGACCATCAGGCGAGAAGTAAACAAGGGCAGTCAGTGTCCCACTCCAGGGCACACTAATGAAAACTGGCCCATGGGAGAGACTCCTTCCTTGGTTATCTGACTTTCACACAAAGGTGAATTCTAAATTCACTTGGTTTTCTTTTTTTCTACTCTTTCCACTCTTTGCCTCTTCTCACTCTTTATCCTTATCCACTCTCTTCACTGCCTAAATGTCCCTGGGGGGCAACTACCACACAGAAGGGAGGTGGAGCTTTATGTGTGCAGGACAGTCCACGCTCTTTATTTCTCTTTGAAATGCCTCTGATTTTACTCTTCAGCTCCCTCCAAATTCCACTCACCGAACATCTTTTCTTTTCTATAAGTTGTGCTTCCTCTCTCTCTCTCTCTCTCTCTCTCTCTCTCTCTCTCTCTCTATATATATATATATATATATATACACACACACACACACACACATACATATATTGGTTATGCATACATGCATATAAGTTCTTTGGTTTTTCTCTTCCTGCCCCCTTCCTGCCCCCTTCCCTCAGAGGTTCATCTGTCTGTTCCCTGCTTCCATGTCTCTGGATCTATTTTGTTCATCAGTTTATTTTGTTCTTTAGATCCCACATATTAAAAAGTATATATTTTCTGCTAGCATATGAGTAGAAGCCTTACAGGACCAATATGTTCTAATAGAGATGTCCTGATTTCATATATATATATATATATATATATATATATATATATATAGCCACAACTAGCTTTTGAAAGCTTTTAAAAGGAAAACATTACTGCCATCCACTATAGTACAAGGTCTGCAAATCAATAATCACATTGAAGTAACACCAAAGGAGAAAATAAAAGTTGGAGCATTGCAATAAGGTGGTTGAATCACCACAAAATTATAAACATTTTTATTATCTAAAATAGAATGTACCAAAGTATAAAAAAAACATCATAGGGGATTTACCATTCAAGTTGCAAGGTTGACTAAGGCTAAGTCTCTCTGGAGGTAAGAATCAAAAATCAGGGACATGCGCATGGTTAGGCAACCCTTGAGGTTGGGGAGTCCAGGGATAACTTAACCAGCACCTCACTCATGATCAGCTAGGATGTTTATCCAACCTGGCTCCTGAGTCTACCGTCACATATATCTCTGTTGTGATCAAATACACACTGGTTCTCTTCTTCAACCCACCCTAAGAATCTAAATATAATTAAGTGCATTTGAGTATTTTCATCCCCACCTGTAGGAGTCTGGTGGATAGAAGAAAATCAAAAACCTTCCTAACAACATCATGTGAAAAGAAAAACAACACATGAAATAAAGTAGCAATTAACAGAACAGCTCAACATCAACGGGAGGAAATTGGACACTACCTGAGAGACTCTAGTGGCTTCCTCTAGGAATTTTTTCATCTCATCCTCGGAGAATACCACATTCATGGCAGACCCACTGGGAAAGGAGAGGGAAGAACAGGTCAGTGTCTCTACAGCTTTAGAAGTAAAGCATCCCAGACTTGACTACTTCTCAGAGTGGTTCCAGGCAACTTCCAGGTTTAGTCTGGGCTAAGTGAGAAGGCATCTTTTTCTAGATTGAGACTTTACTCCACTAATCAGCAGGACAACTGACCAAAGTAAAAAGTCACCGACGCTGCGGATAAGGAAGGGGTTGAGAGCATGGCAGCTCTGGCGATGGCACATCCTTGAGGTTTGTCTTCCCTGATTTACTGTTTTCACTCCACTGGCTCTGGGTAATTCTTGAACCTTAACAGCATTCCTCCCAGGAATCACTAACTGTTTCTTTGGAGTTCGTTACCAAAGGCTAATCTTAACCTATAGCTTCCCAGTCGAAACAGGTCCGTCTTCTATCTCAACCGGACTACATAAGAATCTATTTTTTAATAACATTTGCAAATATAATAAACAGTGTGTGACTGAAACATATTTACCGTGTCCTTCTTTCTAAATACTTGAGAAGGAATGCTACCTGAAACTGACATTTCCATGTGGAATGGAAGGGATGAAAGGTGGAAGAAAAAGAGGAAGGAAGGAAATAAGGAAAACATACTACTTTCCACTTCCTTTTTAAAAGTAGCAGGTTTTTTTTTACCCTTTCTACTCTATTACAAAGTTCTGCTTAAAGAGCTTTCCATTTCTTCATCTGTTTAAGGCAGGAAAGCTAAGGCTATAACTCTGATGATTCATAGTATAGGAAACTAAAAGAAACATAGAGATGTAGATGAGAAAGAAAATGCAAGTCTGTGATCCTCCCTTAAATATTTGTGTTTAAATTAACTTACGTTAATACCTCAAAGGAGTAGTATTATTAGACTATGGTTTTTACAAAATGCCATTTAAACAAAAAGGAAGGTTCTCCACTTCATTTGAAATTTTTCATTATTTTAAAGGATCCCATCTCAAATTCCATTTACACTTTCAAATTGTGCACAGCAAATCGTGTCTCTTATTATCTCCTGTTCAGTGAAGTAGCTCCTTACATGTGGCAACATCTGAAGAGAGGAAGTGATAATTCACAACTTCTCCTTTGATGATAGATCTTAGTTTCAAGGTTTAATATAAAAGACCCTCACTGCCCATGTCCCTCATCACTATAATTCATACATTGAAAAAGGTGATCTCAAAATCTCAACAATTCGGACCAGAGGCACCATCAGAAGGTGCTGACAACAATCGAAGACACGCTGTGATTTCCAGGTATCAGAAAGCATGCTGGAGAGAGCGAGCTCACTGTTCCTGTGGTTTTGGTTTTTTGGTTTTGTTTCATTGTCCTGTTGTCTCATGTAAAGCTAACCTCCCCCAGTGTGGCAAGGATATGCCTAAGCCATGCTTCTGAGGACTGGAGTGTCTTCCTGCTGCCAGTCCCTGAGGAAAAGCATTACACTGAAGGACTGTGCCCAGGTCCTCCATCTGGCTGTGTGGGTTTGCGGACTCTTGATGGATTTACAAGTTACTAGAAATCAGAGCCAATTGTATTAGCATACAGCATGCAGTTCTCTATCTCCCAATTTTTAACTCATTATTTGGCAAACAATATATTACCTCAAAACGTAGGAAGGTCTCAGCAAGCAGGGGTATCCCACAGACTTCGCAAATTCCAATGCCTCATTCTAATTAATGGAAACAACAACAACAAATGTATGAACAGTTTAAAATATTCAATGAAAATGCAGAAGGGTATCATCACAACAAGTAGTAATCTGACTCTTTTTATTCTCAAAAGACACCATTAAAATGTAAATTGGACATTGAAATACATAAAATTTGTACCTCTTAATTCTAAATGTCAAATCTAGTTCAAGAAGAGTTGGAACTTTTTCTCATTGTCTGAAATGTAATGAGAATATTCCTACCAATTTATAACCAACATTTAACCGCAATCATGGAAATACAGCAACTTTAAATTCACTAAGCACAGTGCGTTCTATCTGCCCTGCAGTTAACACCTGCAGTAGTTAACATTCAGGTTGTGACTCTTCAAAGGAGAACATTAAAAACAGACATGTGTTTCTCTCCTTACCAAAGTGTTAACAGCTTTCCAGGGTGCCTGGGCCACCTTCAGCTCGTCCAAGACCGCGGAGAAGATGGAGCGATCCTCGGCCCTGTCGATCTGCAGAGGGCTTGTGCCCATGATCTTAACAGAGTTCTTGTACAGAGGGACCGCCAGGTTGTTTGGAATCTGGCCTCCGACTGATATGATGCAGCCACTGCATGCCTGGAATAGTCACGTGCAACATCAGCCACTGCAGTCCCTTCGTCAGGAAGGAACAACTGTGCTATTCCTGCCTCTGTTCCTTTACTGAACGTGATTAGATGATGTGACAGTTCATTTGTCCTGTCAATGGATAATACTAGCTTTGCCACAAGAAGATAAATGGACTTAGTTCCGACTTTCTAAGCGCTCACATGCTAAAAGCGATGTAAGGGTCCGTATAACTCCACATTTTTACCGTGTACAACGTCCATACAATTACACATGAATGTGTGACATTTGCATGTGTGACAATTAGAAAAAGAAAATCAAACCAATAAACATTTTTATCATATACTCTACACTATGATAGCTTAATTCTTGGACTAGTATTGTAATTTCCTAAGTGGATACAGATTCGTTCTTCCAACCATCACCTCTCCTGTTCCCCTCCGGCCTCTCTTCACCTTGAGAGTAATCATCCTACAAGTTACTCCTATACCCAGGGTTCTCTAAAGGTGCTCATCACCTGAAGGCTAAGATGTAAACTCCTTACCAACAGAGCAATTAAAATGTTCCGCTCTTGCCGCTCATCACTTCCCTCAGCCCCAGGCAGAGGACTCCACTCACTGGCCCAGCCTGCATTCCCACAGGCCAGCTTCCTGCAGCTCTTCCCTTCCTGGGTGTGGTTTCCTTCCTCTTTGTCTCTGCTCCATCATCTAAACTCCAACTATCCTGCAACCAAAGTCCGGTCTTCGTCCTACCTCCTATTCTAACCTCGTCTCTGCTTTCTTGCTACCTTGGCACCTTGGTCCTCCCACTAACTGATGTTTTAGTTTCTATTTCCTTACCATTTGCCTTCAAGCAGACCCAGAACCATTAACCTTAATCTCCTATTTGCAGTTAAAACGTCAAGATTAAAAAAGAAAAAACAAACACAGAATCTCAAATTTGCTCAAGTGGTGTTCCAGTGGTGAGGGTGAGCCAACGTGGCATGCTGGAGCTGGGCGGGCAGGCAGGAGCCCCTTCCTACCACGGTGCCCTCTGTGAAACTCCCCCTGAGGTTCAGAATTCTTGTCTGTGAAATTAGGACAAGAATACCTACCTACTTCACAAGATCACCATGAAGATTAAATAAGAATAAACATGAACGGTTTTATACAAGTGTATAAATGACATTATTAATATTAGAAAATATAATATCTGCTGGGCCATTGATTTTGACAAAATTTGTGTTTGCTTTAATAACCTACTAGTGAAATATTAGAATTGCTGAAGTAACAGAGATGTGTTAAATGTGTTTTATCATTATTTGAAATCATTCTGAAATACTCTTAAAAGGAATGAAGGTAATTTCTCTCTGATGAGAGAAATTATAGTTCTGCCTTAAGCAAACACCTGCAATCGCATGCTTAAATGCATTGTAAACAGTATTGAAAATAATAATCCACAGTTCTGCATATTTATAAATGTACTTAAGCTATGTTTATCATCATTTTTAGATTCAATATACATTTTTCAAAACCTAAGAATTCTTCTCTTTATAAAAATATTTGTATTTGCTCATTTTTTGATTATTAATGGTGTTAATATTTTAAAGGCTTAAAAACTAATTCCTCAATTAAATGTACATAAAACTGTCTTACATGAAAGACTTCAAAATAATCTCTAAAATTAAGAGCAAAATTTGGCGTTAACTGAACTAAATAGAAGCTTAAAGTTGAATTAAAAGCCTTTAATTAATGAATATACCAATATTTTTCAAAATAGCTGTATAAAATTGATTTTTATTTTTCAAGAAATTACCAACTTTCAAAAAAATAATCATATAAACTTCTACTATTTACTAAGGTTGTTACTTCACACCCTTGACTCTCTGTTTGACCTTCACAGTATACCTCTGAGGCAGTTATTACTCTCCCCATTTTACATCTGAAGAAACTGAGGCTTGGTAAAGGTAAAATGACTTGCCCATCTTTCCTGGTGGAACTCAATTCTACATATTGTAAAGTAGCCATACTTGACTAAAATACCAAATCTTTGAATCTTAAGCTAATGACTTTTCTAGCTGGTTCCAGAGATGACTAATGTTACAGAATATGAGAAGAGCTATTTCTTAAACATTCATTTTGAAAACTGGTAGGTAAAAAAACTTTCACTGGCAAAACGCTAGTCTCATCATTGACCTCCAGAAATACAGACCATCATTGGGAAGACAAATCATCCCCACAGGAATGGTTGGGAGCAATGGGGTGATGGTGTAGTGGAAGTTTTGCTCATACAGCAAAAGGAATTCAGTAGAAGAGAACATGTTTGTAGGTCAAAGTTAATATAGGACAGTTTTCTGGAAGAATTATATCTGAAAATAGCCCAACTCTAACTACAGAACTTGTAGGGACTTGGGAAAGAGAACTTGGTATCTCACACAGGTAAATTATCATCATCATCATAATCACTTAACATCTAAATACTTGCAAGTTATTTACTGAAATAAAGTATTCTAAAATTCAGATATTGTTTCACAGATATCTAACATCTCTAGCCTATACTAATTCTATTGGTTCCTAAAGTTCCATTGCTCTTTCCTAGATGTGTTTGTATCTTTTTAACCCAGCTTAATTTCCTACTTTTTAAACCCAATGTCACCAAGGTAATGTCTGCAGCCAAAGGAATATATCATTATAACATTTTCTACTAAAAACAGAGCAAGTGGGAAGATTTCAGCATTCCTAGCATCCCCTCTCACTCAACCTCTGATCAAGACTTCCCTTCAAAGCAACCAGCTTTACTCATAAGGCATATCACCTTTTTGACTTCTCCTTAATGTTTCTTTAGAGGTGCTCCCTTGATGCCATGGAAATAGTTTTGATTCTGAACTAGACCAAGAGACCTGGACCAGGACTCCCATCATACTTTTTATCATCTCATGTAACTATATATCCTTGAGAAAGCCTACTGCCCTTCCAAGTGACTCAAATGTGTGCTTTTAATAAGTTTAGATGTACTTCCAGTTTGGGGCAAATTAACTACTGTATACTCAGTGCCATCAGCCTCAGTAGGGGCATCCGCGGTCAGATAAGGACAGTCTCCTGAAGGCTGAGGAACACCTGTTATGGGAGACAGTGGAGCCTGGGAGGCCTGCTATGAGGAGGTAACGCAACAAGCTCATGAAAGGAAACACACATGCACATATATGTACATGTGCATATGATTTGTGTAATTTCCTGGAATAATCTAAAGAATACGTTAATGAAATATTGTTCTTATGTTCTCCAACGTTACATTTTAAATTGCCATATAATATATAGTAGTACTTTAATTGTCAATTTGCTTCAAAGAAAGGCCAATTTATTTTTTCTATCATACTGAATTCAGTTATAACAAAAGGAACTCATTCATATCCATGTGTAACTATATCCAAAGGCAATCTTGGACATTTCTAATCTTTTCTTAAAGAATGCCTGGGGAAATCATTAATTACGTGTAAAATGCCTGCTGCTACTGCCTGCGATGCTTAATATTATTTAAATAATTATGTAACTTTTCACATATTAATGTCATGAATTCCAGTTTTAATACCTTGAAGGCAAGGACCTGGTTAAGCCTGGCATTTAAAAAGTGCTCAAAAAACATTGGTAGGGGCAGGATGGGGAGGAGGGGGTCTGGGGTGAAGAAAAGGAGAAATGTATGTAACAAAAATAAATTAATAAAAATTGAAAAAAAAACATTTGTAGACTGCACTTATTTTGATCTCCACCTATGCATATGAAATGAATATTAAGAAATCATTAGAAAAACCATATCAGAGAGAAAAATAAAAATTGTGTATATTCTACCTAATGGTTCAATTGTATTATATTAGAATATTAGTAAGCTAGGTCTAAATAGACAACTATGATGGTCACCCATGCTAAATTTGTCCATTTTTCTGTGCATTCTTCTTTACAGTAAAAAATTATCACATCGTTCCGGCACTATACTTTATACTTTACAATGTGATTTCAACCACAAATCTCATGTCACCTTCACAGAACCAGCATGTAGCACAGTTTTACATTCATATATCTCATTAACCAAAAAGGATGAAGAACCGAGAATTTAAGTAACTTGCACAAGTCAGTGAGTTCTCAAGTGAAAACTAGAATTGAAGTATTATTGGTCCAATTCAGTATTCTTTTTCCTAAGTGACCATATTTTACACACTGGGGTGATTTTCTGTGGGGAGGAATTAACTGTAATGACATCAAAAGGCACAATTATTGGACATCACTTTGAAATTTTTCAGTAGTTATTTTTTTTATTTAACTTAAGATAATCTAACTTGTTCTATAAATGTACAGTAATCTAGGATCATCTGAATCTATAGTGAAGATACACTCAATAATATTAGAGTGGAAGTAGAGGAGCAACTTTAGAAAAATTCCATGAAGGTACCAAAACCATTTGGAATCGACTCATCAGGTCTTAAATTGAAGACTAATGGTTTCATCTGATAGAGCAAAGAATGAACTGGTCCTTTGTGAACAAAGACTCCTCTCCTCTGGGAACCATGATTCATCATTAAATCGCAATAACTCCTGAGCTAGAAAGAGGCTGCTTATTGTATGTCTGGGTGGCCAAGTCAATCATTATGCAAACTATTTATTGGGGTTATCTTATACTAGTTAATATGTCTGGCACATGTTACCAAGAAGAGTTTTTAGTATAGCTGGAATGTTTAGGGAAAAAAAGTGAATTTTATATGAAAAATAATCACTCTGATCCAGGGCCTCAAGAATGTAAGGCCAGGGTAATTCTTCAAGAGTTTCACTACAAAATTAGACAACAGAAGACACTCAGAGCTCTTTCTCCTGAGGGGAATTACAATATAAATCTACATACATGAATACACATATGTAAAGTGTGAACTGCACATGTTATTCTTCTCCCCTGCACCTCTCTTTTTTTTTTTTTACCTCCTGATGGTAGATATCCAAGATTCTTTCCAAAGACAGCTCTTCAAAGTACAGTTTGTCACACTCATCAAAGTCTGTGCTCACGGTCTCAGGGTTGCAATTCACCACCACAGTCTTCCTGCCAAGTTGACGCAGTGTGCGGATACTGGAGACAGCGCACCAATCAAATTCCACACTGCTGCCTGCAGAGACAATGAGATTGGGAAAAGGGGTAAGAGAAGCATGAAGTTACAACACAAGGAGTAGCAGAAATATATTGCCAGTCAGTTCAAGTCAAGGAAGCTAATGACCTTTCAATTTGAGGGAGCTACTTTTGCTTTATTTGCTCTTCCTTTTTTCTTTTTCAATTCAATTTTTAAAATTCCGAAATATAGCTCTGGGTTTGGCTCAGCAGTGAGAGCATCAGCCAGTGGTTCAGAGAGACCCGAGTTCGGTTCCCACTAAGGGCATGTAACTTGGTTGCAGTTTGTCCCCAGCCCTGGTTCGGGTCGTGCAGGAGGCAGCCACTCGATGTGTCCCTTTCACGTTGATGTTTCTTTCTCTCTCTTCCTCTCACTCTAACTGAACAAAAATGGAAAATAGTCCTCAGGTGAGGATAAAAAAAAAAAAATTCCGAAATATAAACTTCAGATCCATTATGTACACTATATTAATAGCAGGAAAAATAGGAATTCATTAAACAGCAATGACATGTTGGTTTGTTTTATATGCTAAGTTCTGCAACAGGTAACATTCATACTTGAAGCCTACAGAATCTCAAAGTCAATGGGAGATCATTGTAATAATAATAATAATAATAAATAGCCCTCATTTACTGAAAAGAAATTCAATGTGAATATAATGACCTCAGCACACAAAATTAGTTAAGTTAGTGATCAGAATACCTGAGTTCTTGTTGCAGTCCTTCCATTTACCCTGCTGTCTGAAAGCTAAACCCAATGATCCCTGAGGTGCCTTGTAGCTCTGACATATCTTAATCGATTAGAAAGTCCTGTCCTTTCCAAGCATATCCTTTTAAGCTTGGCAAGGCCACCCCATGCTGAGTGAGTGACCTTCTAAGAAGTAATTTGAAGTACAATAATGGCCTTAAATGCCTCAAAATATCACCTCTACTGGGATGCCGCAGAACTGAAAGTTGTGGGATTTGTACTAATCCTTGACATTCGGACTTTGTCTCCTAAAAATTGTTGTCAGAGTAAGTTATGCAAATTTAGTAGCAAGTTAATTCTCACTATCAGTTGAGTGTAGATTTGACTGTCATCTCAGCTGGTCTTCCCTGGGCCTTAGGGTAATGCAGAATTGTTGCATAAATTAAGAAAAATTTGAAGAGGGAGAAAAATAAGTCCTCCCTCCTCCCCCGCAAAAAGTCCTCATGACGCTAGTCAAGCCAGTTAGCCCGAAGAAACTATGGTGGTAAAAGTATAAACACTTTTGTTCTCCTCCATGACTTGGCAAAAAATTGGTAAACTAGCATTTCCTGAAGTTCTCAGTTAATTGTAAAAGCTAAAGTAAACTATGCTGAAAGTAACACAGTAAGCCTATATACATTTAAATCATGTATTTTATCATTTCCATTATAGAATACCTTATAGAAACTAAAGCTAAATATACTTATTGGAAAATATTATTGTCTATTTAAATGCATACTTTGTAAATGTAATAGATCTTGATTTATTATTAAATATATACTTTTAAGTGTCTAGGGGGAGATATGTAACGATTTCTGGTGAGAATGCTTTAGTCAAATTATATAATAATCTATGCACCAATGAGAAAAGTTATTTGCATTTGATGTCAACAGAAATCATATGTTAGGTCAGAAATTCTGGCTGATATTTAAAGTTCTTGAGCCAGGACAGATCTTTGTGAACTACCAAGCTAGGAGAGAAAAAGTAAAGTGCATTTCATTCCTCAACTCCAGAGAGGCTCAGTTTAGTTCATGAGGATGAGAATGATGACTGAATAACATGATGAAATAAATGGAGATGGAGTTTGTGGTGGAGGCCACATTTGAATGCCACTTCTACCACTTAATATCTGCACACATTTGGGCTTCATCTCTATGAACCTCAATTTCCTAATTTTCACATGTTTTATTATGATAGCATCTATTTTACACAGCTTTTAGAATACTGCAATTAACATGGGTGAAAAGTACTGCATAACCTGTAAAGCCCTATGTAACTTTAAGTTATCACTTTACCAATGTGATATGGACCACAGCCCAGCACCATCATTCCATGTTCATCAAAATTGATGTCATGCTCCTGAGAAAGAAAAAAAGATGAACAAATTATTATGTTATTCTTCCCTCTAATTAAACTGTGTGTCCTGCTTTTGAATGTGCCTTTCTCGTTCTTCCTCTGGCTTACTTATATCCTCTGTTAGTCTGGGATCCTCTAAGTACAAGGTTATAAAAGCTCTATTTCTTTATAAAATAATAAGTTTTATATTTTTTAAATTAAATAGTCATTAGAACATGGCATAACCGTATAGTTCATATAACCATTGTCCTATCTTTTCATTTGTTTAATTTCATCATCTTAAGGCAGGTCTTAAAAGATGAATACAGAAAGACATCATCACATCTGATCCACATGATGTCATTTTTATTACCGAGATCACTACATAACCAAAGACAAAAAACAGATATTCCTGCATGAGGACCATTTACTAAATCTAGAGCTTGCTGATACGGCAGTGTGGCATTCTTACCTGACCGTTGTAGGTAACATAGAGGTAGTTCGTTACTGATGGGTATTCTGCAGCCAGTGTATCAATCTGCAGAAGAAAACAAATAAATAAATAAGGATTTTTCCACTTCCTTTGTTATAATTTCTTTTTAAAGAATGATTGTGGGTTGTTTCAGTGCTGCATTCATATTTCTTTAATGTCTATTACTGAAAAAAAAAGATTAGAAAAAGGGATGTACAATACCATTGCTTTCTAATTCTAAAAGTAAAAGGGAGGGAAATCAATGACACAATTTGGTTATCACTTGAACAATAATGACAATACACATCCCAGAGGATCTCTGAATTATTATGGTAGTACCTCTCATGAACACGACAAAGTGGCCATATAATCAACTGGTTACCGAGACTTACTCAGCCAAGCTGTCTAAAGCAGCTGCAAATAAAATCTAAAGTCAGTGCAAAACGACCTATTTGTGAGGATGCCTTTAGTTTGCAATGCATAAGATTTAAGTTATCTATGGCAATGAGCAATTGGGTGAGCAAATTTCTTAATCATGGGGGCGAGGGAAAGGAGATAGGATTTCATTGAACACAAAAAGTAAATCGATTCAGCTCTCCAGGGCCAGGAGCTCAGCTTAGAGAGCAAAAATTGGGGAGCTGACAGGGCAAGCTAGTGTTGAGCAGGTAAGAAGGAAAAAAGATCATAATTGCTGAGTAGAAACTATTCAGTGTCAAGCCTGAGACCTAAGGGTATGCATGTGCCCCCTGAGCACATGGGAAAGGTCAGTGATTTTAAAGGACAAAAAGCAGCTGGAGGTACTTTAAGCCAAGCCATCTCTACTACTAAAGGCCAAAAAAAAATCACAATGGTACACCTAGGAAAGTTCTTATGTGATTGTCATGAATACTAGATGAGCTCATTATGCCCAACCCTATCACAATGAATACTAAATGATCCATAATGATGGAGCACTTAAAGTAAAGTATTGCCTTGTAAAAAGTTAGTGCCAAAAGAGATAACTATTCTTTTCAAGAGCCTCAGCCACCACACTAGGATATTTCAAGTTCTATTACTTTCAGGATTTCTCTTTCTATGGATATATTTGCACTCAGTCGAAACGCAGAGGAGAGGTCACTTTGATTTTGATTTTTTTAATTTAGGCCAAGAAAATCATGTACTTACTCACTCTTACCTTTACATCCCAGTTACCCTTTCACCCTCTCCCTTTTAAGATGAATAAATCCAGTGCTGAATCACACTGGTGACATCATGGGCATCGACTGGACAATTGGAGGCATGTTCAAATTCCACCCCTCTTGCTATTTACAGTGTCCCTGTGAATGCTGCCTACAGTTCACTTGAGGAATCGTGAGAAGAGAGAGAAACTACTTTACCTGTTTCACCCAAGGGTGGATGTTTTTCTTTAATCTCAGCTCCCTTGTCTGGGCCTCAGTCAGCTTGAGACATTTGGAAATCTGCTTGTCTGAGAACCCAATCTCCTTGGCCTTTTTCAGGGTTTCTGCTGGGACGGACTCGCTGGGATTTAATGACAAAGAAAGACTCAAGTTTAAATCAACCGCAATAAGAAGCAGTGGACTATTCCATTTCAAAAGCACTAAAGGTTCTTTCTTTATTTTCTATCTTCATCGTGTTTAGATCTATCTTTTAAAAATACACAAATAACCCACTAAATATTCCAGCCTCTCTGAAGTCTACTATTTGCAATGCTGATCTTCTCACATATGTGGACTCCTATTTTCACACCGTACACACCCTCTTTTTACTTCGTGAAACACTGTTTCTGCATTTACTGTGCCAATGAATTTCCTCTTTAAAAATAACCACCCTCTTAATAAATTAAGGAGCTCTTTCTCAATTTTCATCTCCTTCACCTGTCAGCATGTGACCTGTCTGATGCTCCATCCTTTGAAGGCATCTTCCATTGGCTTCTGGTAAATTGCTTCTCCCCCTACTTCATTACTCCCGACAACCATTTACTATTTCATTCCAAGGCTCTGTCCTCAGTTACTAGCTTTAGTCTGGCTCCTTTCTCTCCCTCTCAATTTAGCTCCCGTGATTGGCTCAAGTAACCTAAGCAGTCAGTGACAGCCAAATCTGTAGGCCCTTCTCCAGTGTCTGACCTGTGCTCCAGGTCTTTACATACGTGGACTTTGAGGATCATCTTCACCTGAGCACCCCAACATTTATCAGACTAGGTATCCTCTCAATAAACCACCTTTATTTACTAATATCTTGTATCTGTCTTCTGTGGAAAAGATGGTTTTGTGGCTTTCTGATTGTTTCCCACTCAAGCCAGGTTTATCTCCTCACCTTCCCCACACTCGTTTCCATGGTATAGACTGTATTCTGCTGTTTCGCTCCCCTGCAGAGCCTCTGATACTCCTTTTACCCACCCAACTTCTCTCCAACTCCCCGCCACCCTTCGAAGGTCAACAAAAGCCCTCACCCACAGTCATCTTCCTGGGCTCCTAACAGCCGCTTACATTTTGAACCAAGTTGGAAGCTAGAAGGACAGTGCTTAGCATGTCATCATTACTTAGTATTTTAAGTGTTTCTTACATTTTATTTTATTTTATTTTATTTTATTTTATTTTATTTTATTTTATTTTACCAACCACACTTTTTTCCTTCTAGGTTCAAGTTCCACAAGGGCAAAGAATACATCTGGCTCATTTACCAGTTTATTCCCAAAGCCTAACACACTGGCCCACAGACAACATTCAATGAATATGTATTAAATAAATGATAACTGTAATCCCATGGCTTTTTATTTTATAGAAAAGACAAATAAGCTATTGAAATCAGCTTGTAACTAGAATTCAAAATGTACACAAAAATAATTTATATAGGCCCAATAAGAATGTTACTGTCTTTTTTTTTTTTTTTTTTTTTATCCTCACCCAAGGACATTTTTGCATTTATCTTCAGATAGAGTGGGAGGGAGAGAGGGGGTAAGAGAGAGAGAAACATCAATGTGAAAGAGAGACATCGACTGGTTGCCACCCACACAAACCCAACCAGGGCTGGGGACAAACTGCAACCGAGGTACGTGCCCTTAGAGGGAACTGAGCCCGGGACTCTCTGGTCCACAGGTTGATGCTCTAACTGCTGAGCCAAACCAGCCAGGGCTGTAAAAGCATCTTTAACCAAGTAGCTGTGACCAGCTATTCCAAGCAATAGTCAGTATAATGAAATTCTATTATGATAGTTTGATAGTCAATTTATAAAATTAAAATATAACAGTGTATTGTCAGAAGATCTAATAATAAATAAAATATTTTCATTGAAATTCTACTAATTAAAATGTACTTGAATAAAATCTATTATTGCCCTTTGTTTATTTTATTCTTCAATCCTCTCTTTTAATTCATTCATATTCTGAGTTTAAAGAAGAGAAAATCGATCTGGTATATGTAACAGCTATTTCTCTGGGTTTTTATATTAGTATTAGATTTTCGCAGCTACAGCTCTTCCTAGTCAATACACTTTCTCTACAGCACCTAAACACCCTCCTGCCTCTCAAATCAATATGTTGTTTCTCCCAATGAATTTCATTTCTTCTTTTTCTATTCTCATTTAGATTTTTCAGTCTTCCCAAGAATTTGATAAACATTCTCTCAGAACAACACATTTTCCTACCAAATTCTTACGCACAATCTGATTTTTATGTATTAGTCACTTACTATGTGTGAGAAGCACATGCTCTAGAACTGTGCTAGCCAATGTGGTAACCACTAGCCACACATAACAATTTAAATTTAAATGTCAATTAAGATTTTTAAACTAAACATTTAGATCCACAGTCACCCTGGCCACATTTCAAGTGCTCAGTAGCCACATATGGCTAGCGACTACTGTGTAGGACAGTGTAGATTACAGAACATTTTATCATCACAGAAATGTCTACTGGGCAGTGCTGCTCAAGAAGATACAAAACAACAGTGAGACAATGGAGTGACGAGCGATTCCACACATCTTATGGGGAGATAAGGTGTGTGGTGAAATGCAAGGTCAGAGAAAAGAGACGGCGATGTGAGTGGCTGCAGTGGAGAAATACCACGGCACAGAGGGATGAAAACAGAACCGTGAAGAAAGTTTAGTACATAGATGAAGGAGTTATAGATGTACTATAAGCAAGGCAAATGCACCTGCAATAATTTGAGGCAGCAATAGCATCACAGGTAGGAAACGTACTGAGGATTTCTGGTTGGGAAAGGGTAGGGAAGTGAGGAGGGCAAAGGCGGGCACCACGCATTGCCACCCTTTCATCAGTGTTGTAACACTTAGTACGCACGTGCTGTGTGTCAGGCTCTGTGTCTACCTTTTTCTTTAATATTTTTTAAATGTTTTTTCTTTATTGATTTTAGAGAGAGAGGAAGAGAGAGAAACATTGATGAGAGAGAACCTTGACTGGCCGCCCTCTGCATGCCCCCCACTGGGGATCAGGCCCACAACCTGGGCATGTGTTCTGACCGGGAATCGAACTGCGACCTCTTGGTGCCTGGGTCAGTGCTCAACCACTGAGCCACACCGGCCGGGCTGTGCTACCTGTTTTAATGACAGAGAGATCCAGTACCGAATCTCTACATGCAGGGAAGTCGGAGTGTGTTAGGATGTGTCCCGCACTGTGAGAGGTGCTATGAGAGACGTGTAGAGGAGGCTCTGGCTCAGAGGAAGCGGAGCGTGTCCAGCTTCTGCTGGGGAAGTCTGGAAAGGCTTCTGAGCTTCTAAGCTTCTGAGGATCTTTAAAACACCCAAGTTTATGGCATTTAGCTTTAGTTTTTCCGAAACTAAAAATGTTTGAGACAAAAGTAGAGGAAGGGATTTTTTGTTGTGGCTATTTGTTTTACAAATGTGTATTTTCACTCTCCTTGCCAAGACTGTTTCTAATCCAGTTGCTCATTTGTTTACGTGCAAGTGTACATTCAGCCTCAAAGTAGAAGCGCTTGATAAATAAGCTACTTTTCTAAATGAGATATTTGGATGATATTTGTTTTAAATAAATGTATTTAATTGTGAGTTTTTTGGAAGATCTCAAATCGTATTAATGTTTGCTTACATGGGGAAAAGCTACATATTTTCTCTGTGATCTGCAGTTATATTAAAAACAGAGGTATGGCCCTGCCGGTTTGGTTCAGTGGTTAGAGTGTCGGCCTGCGGTCCAGAGAGACCCGGCTTTGGTTCCCACTGAGGGCACGTTCCTCAGTTGCAGTTTGTCCCTGGCCCTGGTTGGGTCGTGCGTGTGGGAGGCAGCCACTCGATGTGTCCCTTTCACATCGATGTTTCTCTCTCTCTCTCTTCCTCTCTCTCCCTCCCACTCTATCAGAACAAAAAAATGGAAAAATGTCCTCGGGTGAGGATAAAAAATAAATAAAAACAGAGGTATGAAGGGTGAATTAAGTGGAGAAATACAGTATATATAATAACATTCAGCCAATTCTTACCCAGAGATTTTTCTAGCTACTTGCTAGAACATTTTCCCATCACTGGGGGGATAGCAGTGAAAGAAAAGATGAGCAAAGAATAAGTAGACCTTCAATAAGACATTTCTTTATTATTGCAAAAACTATCTGAGGCAAAACCCATACTATATTACTATATTGACCACCACACTAACCTAAATGACTGAACCTATGTGGGAATAACAGAGGTCCACACACACCTAAGAAACATGTCTTGGAAAGAACAAGCTTAAATGCAAGTTTTTCAAGTCCAAAGAGAACCAGAAGTAATCTATTTATCTTTACTCTTTGGGTCATGCTTTTTTTTTTTTTTACCTTAAATGATTTATTTTTGTTTTTCTTATATGGACTATCAGTCAGTTCTTCAAAGGTTCCTATATTGCTTTAAAGGCAAGTTGTAAATAATGATAGTAAACAAGCAAGCAAACAAACAAGAAAACATTCAAATTCCTTGCATTTCTATTAGGGACTTAATACATTTGCATTTGTCCTGTCCACATTCAGCTATGCAGTCTTTTCCTTTGCTGAAATATCTATAACGCCTTTTATTCTTTCCACCAAAAAATAATACAATAGAATATATAAAGATATTTCCAGCAAATACACATGATTCTCCACCCAAAAATAAAAGTGGACTCTTACTAACAAAAAAAAATTAAGAACAAAAAGAAAGGCTGATTCATAGAACTGGTCTTATGTATAAAAAAAAGTAAAGTGAATTAATTTTGTGCTCAGCTCTGGTGGCAAAAAAATTCTGTCACTAGGACTAATTCAATTGTTGCTGTTTCTCGTAGCATATCCACCCCAGAGAGTTTTTCATTATTTAACAGGGATGCTTGAGAAGAGCAACAGCTACACAGAATAATGAATCATGAATGACAGAATTTCATGAATGAACTATTTCTCCATTGGTGACCCTTCCCATCACTGCAGGTGAGAGTTCATCAAGCTAGATCTGCAAAGCACATGTTTTAAGCTCACAAGTGGAATCTCAGAAAATTTTCCTGGTGAGCCAAAAACTGCTTTAACTTTTGCTCACTATTCAAAAAATTA